TGTTAACTCATACTTTTTGACTTTCCTAAAACTATACACATATTTAACTACCTTTTCATTCCTAACTAACTTTAACTGTAAGCCACCTCCAAATCACATGTTAATTATCAACTTAAAAATAACATGTTGAATTATTTCTTGCAACTGCCTCTACTAAAAGTCACTAGAGTTATTGTTGCTAAGTTGTTATTGAAGCTACTTCTCATCATGGATATTGTAACAAGAGACAACTCTTCCAAGCTTAGTAACATAAGTGAAGATACACCTTAAGTAGAACATGTTTGGATAATTGTTATCTTCTTATTAAAAAATTAGCCTTTTACAATAAAATCTTCGTAGATCATTATTTTAGATGTTCTAGTTTATGATCGTCGAGATAGTCATGCATGTATATTGAGGGAGCGCTCTTTTATATTGAAACTATATATATATATGACAACAATATGTATTAATTAACTATGTTGAGTCAATAATCAACCTACTTTCATACTTCTCTTAGTTCATTATCAATTATCTACGTATATATAAATTTGTATATATTAATTTATGAAACGACTCGGCAATAAAATTGACAAAATATAACATGGACCTATTAAATAAGCCACTATTTATATCGTCACAACACAACTAAGTTGGTAATTCAACATAAGTTTCAACAATTTATAAACAAAAATGATTTTACAAAATCTAAAACAAAAAATAACATTTACAAAATCATATATCTATACAACAAGTTTGTTAGAGAAAAAAATAAGTAAGCACCCAAACAAAATACAAATACTACAAAAATATGCAATAAAACAATTAACATTTTAAAATTCTGTTCAAATTTAAAAAATGATAAATTTACTTACATATAATGAAAAAAACACAAGAAAATTGTTTTTGTGACTAGAAAAGTCAAGGAATGATGAATTGTGTTTAAAAGAGGGTGAAATGGTAGGGGAAGGGGGTTGTTAGTTGCAAATTTAGGGGGGTTTATTTAGTTGCAGAGGGGAAGAAGGAGAAAGAGGGAAGGAGAAGTTCGATCAAGTCATATATTAACTATTATTGATGGAATTACCGATGGATATATTACGTTTGTACATCCAATAGCAATTTTATTGTTGACTTTAACACGTCACTGTACAGATATTTCGATTTGAATCCCTTTATAATTCCATTGGTAAAATCGCTTACAAAAACTTCCACATCATCGTACTTCTTCATTTTTTAAAATTCTTTATATTTCGTTTGTGATTCCCTCGGTATATACCGATAGAATATTTCTGTTGGTATATGTCGACTAGTATAGTGAAAAAATTAATTCGACTAGTAAATATCACCGCAAAATACCGACAAAAAAAATTATATTTGTAATACTATTGGTATTTGTTGGATTTCTAGTAGTGAGCTATAATCTTCATCATCATTTTTTCACTAAATATACATATCATCTTGTTAAAATGAAAGAGGATGAAGTATTTCAATTCTATCTTTTGAAATTGTCATAAAATTCAAGTAAGAAGCTCCTATTTAAATTATATTTTATATGATATATAAAAATTAAAATGTCACTTTAAAGTATATTTTATATGATATGGTAGAGTTTGTGGGTTCTTTTCTCCTATCCATTAATTGATTTATACATAAACAAAAACTCTGCTAAATTAGCCTATTTTCCTTACCTTTATATGCACTATTTTCTTTTTCCTTATCTCCTTTTTGTTTTTTCCTTTTAGTCTCTTTTACGTGGGCTAATGATTTGCAAGTCAAGGGACTTCAATATTAATAATTAAAAAAAATGGCATGATACATGTCGATCAAGTAGTAAAACTAAATTGAAACAAACTTCGTGCTGTTTAAGCACAACACATCTCCTTTATCCTAGTCTATGCACCACTTCATTACTTTTTTATTAATTTTTTTATTATTTAACATTTAGTTTATTAAAAATAAATTTTATAATTTATTATAGTTTACTTTGTATATGGTTATTTTAGTTTCATTATCCATGTTGCAAGTTTAATGAGTTAACTCAATTAACTCGTTAATTTTTTTAATTTAAGCCTCCAATATTAAGTTGCTTAGGAATTAGGTTTGATAATTATTTTGATTTGTTTTCTATAAAGTTACTTTGATCTCATGATCTAGATGATGAGTTTTACGGGTTAACTCAGATCGAATCATGTCGTTTTATTGTGTCTTTTTTTAGATTGGTTCCCCCTTTACTTTTACCATTCAATAATAGCTTGATTGATAATTGAGCTTTGAAATGTGTTTTGATTTGCTTTTTATTATGTTATTACATTCTCATAATTTAAATCATGAGTTTTGTGAGCTAAACTAGGTTGGCCAGAGTCAATTTTTTATTTAATTTTTATGAGATTACCATAATCTCATGACCCTGATTATGAGTTTGGCAAGTTAACTCGTATTAACTTAGGTTATTTTTTATTTTTTTATTGATTTTTTTTAATTTCATTATTTAACATTTTTTTTATTGAGAATTGAATTTCATGATTTTTCTTAAATTACGTTTCACAGAGTCATTCCAGTCTCATGGTCCAAGTTATGAGTTTGACAGGTTAAACTGAATTGTTTTATTTTTTTTTTAATCAAATTTTTTTCAACATTTGTTTAATTGAGAATTAAGCATAATAATTTATTTTAATTTATTTTTTATGAGGTTATCATAGTCTCATGATCTGGTTGTAGATTTGGTAGATTCACTTAGGTTAACCTAAGTCAATCTAATATATTAATATCTCAATATTTTTTTTTAAATGTCATTTTAAATTTTCTTAGTAAAAATATGTTGTCCAAGTTGTCTTTAAACTCACCAAATCAATTAAGTCATATTAAATTAACTTGCATACAATTTAATTTTGTTTCCTTCTTAAAAAAACTAGTTTTTTTACCTATGTTTTATCACGGGTCAGATATTTTTTAGCAAAATAATATATGCCATCTTTTCAAATATGTTTTTTTTATAATTATAATTATAAACAAAAAAAGCATATGCATGTTTTTAATTACATATATTAAGAATTATATTAAATACCAAAAAAAAAACAAGTAGTTAACCCGTCTATTGAACTTGTCTTGCTGTAGGTAAACAATTTTTTTCGCTAACATAAAAGAATTAACATGGTTCAATTCTATTTTTTAAAATTATCATAAAATTCAAGAAACAAGCTCCTATTAAAATTACATTTTATATGATATATAAAAATTGAAATTTCACTTTAAAGTATAATTGATATGATATGATATGATAGAGTTCGTGGGTTCTTTTCTCCTATCCATTAATTGATTTATAAATAAATAAGAACTCAAATAAATTAGCCCAGTTTCCTACCTTTACATGCAATGTTTCCTTCTTTCTTGTCTACCTTTTGTTTTTTTCTTTTTGGTTTCTTTTATATGGGCTAATGATTTGCAAGTCAAGGGACTTCAATAATAACAATAAAAAAAATGGCATGATACATGTTGATCAGTTAGTAAAAATAAACCGAAACAAACTCCATGCTATTTAAGCACAACACATCTCCTTTATCCTAGTTTATGCACCATTTCATTACCTTTTTATTTTTATTTTTTTATCATTTAATATTTAATTTATTAAAAATAATTTTTATAATTTATTGCAATTTACTTTCTATATGGTTATTTTAGTTTTATTATTCGTGTTGCGAGTTTTATGAATTAGTTAGATTAACTCGTTAATTTTTTTAATTTAAGCCTCAAATAAAAAGTTGATTAGGAATTAAACTTTATAATTATTTTGATTTGTTTTCTATGAGATTACCTTGATCTCATGATTTAGATTACGGGTTTTACAGGTTAACTCAGATCGAATTAGGTCGTTCTATTGAGATTTGTTTTTAGATTGGTTTCCCCCTACTTTTACCATTCAATAATGGCTTGATTAATAATTGAGTTTTATAATATATTTTGATTTATTTTTTATTAGATTATTGCATTCTCATAATCTAAATAATAACTTTTTGCAAATTAAACTAGGTTACTAGAGTCAATTTTTTATTTAATTTATATGAGATTACTCTAATCTCATGACCCTGACCCTGATTATGAATTTGGAGGGCTAACTCGTATTAACTTAGATCATTTTTTATTTTTAATTAATTTTTTTAATTTCATTATTTAACATTGGTTTGATTGAAAATTAAACTTTATGATTTTTTTTATTTACTTTCTACAGGGTTATTCCAGTCTCATGAATCAGATTATGAGTTTGATAGGTTAAATCAAATTGTTTTATTTATTTTTTAATTAATTTTTTTAATATTAATTTGATTGAAAATTAAACATCATAATTGGTTAATTAAAAATTAAACATAATAATTTATTTTAATTTATTTTTTATAAAATTATCATTGCCTTATGATCTGATTGTAAATTTAACAGATTAACTCAAGCTAACCTGAATCAATTTAATATATTACCATCTCAATATTTTTTTTAAATATCAACTTAAATTTTATCAGTAAAAATATATTATTTGAATTGCCTTTAAATTCACTAATCTATTAAGTCATATTAAATTAACTTACATGCAATTTAATTTTGCTTCCTTCTTATAAAAAACTAGTTTTTTGACATATGCTTTGCCCTATATCATATTTTTTTTGCAAAAAAAATATACCATCTTTTCAAATGTTTTTTTTATAATTATAATTATAAATAAAAAAAGCATATACACGCTTTTAATTAAATACACTGGGAACCATGTTAAATACCAATAAAAAAAACATTGTTATCGCATCTATTAAACTTGTCTCATTATAGGTAAACTAATTTTTTTAATATAAAATAATTAACATGTACATGTTATTAATATATTTTTTAACATCAACTAAAAAATATACCTTTAAATTAAAAAATATGTTTATATATAATAAAATATAGTAAAAATCATATATATTAATATAAAATATAAAATCTCAAATTAATTTTTAATATAACAGAATAATAAAACAATACTGTAATTGCAACAATGAAACAACTTTTCCTTAGTCTTTGTGTAATAAGAGAGTATATTGAGATATTGAGTATCATTCAGCTGAAATATTGAGTATATTTCATTTAATCAAAGGCTAAGGGAACAAAAACATAGACAAATTGTAGCTACAAAATATCAGACAAGAGGTAGAGGATAAAGGTACAGCTTAAAATAGGACACTACAAAAAATCGCAGAGTAGACTCAGGTAGGTTATGAAGAAAAAACAAGAACAATTTTGGAAGAGAAAAATGTGAAACACAAATTATACCCGCACTGCCTCCATTGGAATGATGGTTAAAACAACTTCAGAAAAACCACCATCTTCGCTGCCTCCTCTGCAAAAAATAAAGAGGTAAGAAGTTGCAAACATTACAGGGGCACCATGATACGCATGAACAGTGACTAGTAAAAGTTTCACGAGCAGCTACGGTACCTAGTGCTTTTAGGAAGTGAAAATGTGCTTATGGGTAATATACAAAAGGTTCCTGAAAGCCAAGTTTCCCCCTGGATCTCTAGCATGCGATTATACATAAACAAAATGTAAATGTTTTCCTTGAAAAATACAGCTAAAGACCCTACTCTACTAACCACTTTGAGTGTCGATTGTATTAAGAAATAGCTTTAATATCCATCTTTCTGCCACAAATGCATGTGCATACAAGGCAACTTCCAGATTATTTAGCTTAAAGCAAGTTACTATTGAGAATCATCCTAAATACAAATAATAACTAAGAAGACAATCATAAAACCTCACTTTGTGCAAAACAAAGGTCCGTTTCTCTATGCCAACAGAAAAGAAATTACAGAGAGAGGACTTCGCTTCAGAATTTATTGAAAGATCCTAAAAATAAAGTCAAAGCGAAAGGGAAAGAAGGGTGGAAACCTTTTTATCCTGCTTCTGTGATTGTATTAGGATAGGACGGGGAAGGGCACCATTGCTGATGTTTTGAATGTATGGCCGCACCTTCTCCTCCAACATATCATTCAACTGCAAATCAAATTGTATAGGATGTTGATGACTAATGGCATTTATTAGATAACAAAGTAAACAAAGGTGGCATCAAACAAACTGTGATGGATTGGTAAAGCTATTCTCAGGGAGTATATAATTGCACAGGCAGACATGCTATAAATTTCTTTAAGGAACTGCAGAAAAGCATCCAGAGAGTTTGCTGCCACGCATCCAAGCGAAAAGTTTACATTTTCTCTTTTCCTTCAAGTTATGCTTCAGAGTATTTTTCATTGGTTAAATACGAATGCAAAGGGGCTGGTTTTTTGGCCTGGGCCCGGGGTGAGGTGAAGGTCATAATAGAACATTGCCCTACCGGCAAGTAAGAGATGAATTAGTTGACATTTAAACTTGCATTCTTTCTGGCGTACATTCTGAGATTTCTAGAGTATTTTAATGGTCATGGGACTGCGAGTCCCTTGTTGAATGTTTAACTTCTGCACTCTTTTGGAGGGTTCCTTCTCCCATGACTAATTTTTTTTTATCTTGTTTTCTCTCCTCACTTTCAATAAATAAATAAATATTCCCTTTTCTATGGAAAAAACATCGGTAGTCTTGAACATTAGACTTGGGAAATAAATCTAGATAAAGCAGCCAAAAACAATCCCTTTGTGCCAAGCTTCTTTTATAACAAGGAAAAGGAAATTCTCCACAAAAGAGAGTAAACACAATTCGTGAAAAAACACAAGTTCCTTTTTAAAACAAGAATGATGACATGGCAGCTTCAGTTGAGAGAGAGTACCCCCGGCCATAATTAGATGGCTTCATCCATATATTTTTTTATCATAAACTTCTCACGAATTAATGGCCCAAGCGAACGTTTTGGATTTCATTTATCTTACAGGGTTATTTTAGCAAACAACTTTTCTCACCTAAAACCACAGTATTTCAAAATGGTTTAGTGTCTTAATACTTGTTAACCTTCACACATATTATGCATCATTATTGTAAGGCCGTCCACAGTATTTCACACATATTATGCGTATGCGTGCGCTGTACATACAAATTTTGCAAGTAATATACACAGGTTTGGAGAAATATGAGACAAGTTAAACAGTACGAGTAGAGGTAGCTTTACCAACCTTTTCTTGACGCCATTTAGTTTCCCATTGTGAATCCAAAATTTTATCAGCAATTTCTCTCTGTGCATTAAGAAGAACAGTCATCTCATAGAACTTTTCTGGTTTTTTAAGATCCTCCTCGCTCCATGATGATGCATTTAGTGGAAGGTCCAGCCCCTGCCAATGCATCATGATTAGCTCAATCACCATTCAAAATGAAACAAGACACTCCATATACATCGCATCTCTGAAGCATGCAAAGGTATTGCCTGCCAAAATACCCTTTACTTTTCCCTTTCAGTGCAAATTCATATTCAAAGAGTACAGATGGATTAACTTCTGTGTAAATTGACAAATTCAAAAGAGGTGTTCACATGCCAAATGAAGTAATGCTTTAAGTCAAGAAGGGGACATGATTCAAGGCATTTAGAAATTGAGTGTATAAATTGAGTTTGTCTCCGGAAATAGAGCAACCTGAATAAAATTAAGAGTATTAGTCTATGGTGAGATCATATGATACCTTTCAAGTCAAAGGGGATATTTTGTGGGAAATTTGTAAGGGCAGTTACGCTAAGCTAAAATGAGAATGTTGACATAGATAATAGAACAGACACATTCTAAAAAAAGAATAGGCATGGAAAGGTCATTTAAGATGATTCAGCCATGTTCCACACAAACCTTTAGCTATGCCAGGAGGTGCGTTTGGTATTGTGGTGAAGGCTTCACAATTTAAAACGTATCAAAATAACATTTTTTCAGCATGTTTTTATTTTTATTTTTGACATCAACACATCAAAACCATTGAAAATTACCTACAAAAACATCAATTTAATGTTTTTTCAAGCTAAAAACAATTTGAAAAGCACTACAGTGCCAAACGAGCACTAAGCAAAAAGTGAAAGAAGTGAAAGACCAGAAATGACTTGGGTTGAAGCTGGCTACACTCAAGTAGAAGGGATAAAAGGGGTAGGATAGAGAGACAAACAAAAGACAAATTGAAGTTTTAAGAAGGAATCTCATTTCTAAAAGGCTGGTTGAAACATAGGTCCTAACCTCCAAGACCAGGTGTAATGTAGGGCAAACATAGGTCCTAACCTCCAAGACCAGGTGTAATGTAGGGCGAATCATGTAACCAATCCCAAATAGTTTGGAATTAAGTTTAGTTGAGTTGATTTGATTAATAAGATTTGGAACTATAATCTGAATCGTGCCCATTCCACCAATTTGTAATTTGATCAAAGACTCAACTGTACCTTGTCAGTGCCACCATGAATATGCTTGATCAAGACCCAATTTGTACCACGAAGTTCTTCAAGTACCTCAAAACAAGGACTAAAGGAAACTGTGCTTGTTCCTCGGGGCTTCATTTTCAACTATGGAGCAGTCACTTTTTTTTTCTTTTTTTTTTTTTATGGATGATGATTGAGTTACCCTCAGTTAGTGAAAAAAGAAACCTATTGAAGGGTTGTATATGTAATTGTCAATGCTTTAGACACTAATTGAATCTTTTTTTCTCTCCCTATTGAAATGATATGTTAGAATATGAACAAGCAACGTAGTTTGCAACCATAGGGTACAATGAATACTCACACCCCAATTTTGTGGCCGAGGTGGTGGATCAAGTTTCATGACCTCTGCCTCCAGTGCCTTCTTGGCTTTGTAGTATGGGACATTTTTCACAACAACAGGATCATCCCTGGCACGAACAGGATCTATGGAGATCAGAGCCTGTGAATGATTAATGAACTCAAATGACAGTTGTGGCAAAACAATGAACTATATGCAATTCCAGCAAGTACATATTTAAACTTGAAAGAGTTTAAATAAAATGAAAAAACAAAAGCTTGACACATTGTAGGTTTTGTAATTTGTGTGTGTGCACACTGCCAACATTTTAGATGACAGATACTAATTCTTCCCCTGGATGAACCCTCAGTATACCTTCTAATGCAGGGATTCAACTTCCAGGCTTTGACTTCAAACCTAATCAATCATTATGTGGATACCGGATAAATAAAATGATCAGGGCAGGTTGGCTATTCAATCCATTCAAAAATTATTTAAACTACTAGCAACGGGAGTAGTCAGTAGATTACTGCAAGTTTTACTTCTCAATATGCTTGCTAGCTTTATTGCTTTAGTCTTGAACATTAAAGAGCTGTGGAGTTAATGACTGAATACCAGAGCAAGGTGTAAACAGAACAGCTTGGCAGGCAATTCTATGAATTTGCACCATTAAGGACCCTATACTAGTATGCAAATGAACCTTGTTCAGCTTTAAGCTTATAAGCTTGTGCCCCACCATTTTGATAAAACATTTGTGAATATGGTGAACCACAAAATTGGGAAGTAGCAAAACCAGTTAAAATTTGCTTCTAGATGGATTGACTAAAATAAGGTGGCCACAGCACAGAATAAATACAACAATAAAAATCTTTTCAGTTTACAAGGAAACCCAGAAAGGTGAGTATAGCAAACACACATAGAGGATTGGAAGCAAAGAATTTGACTATATGCTCTTGTTTTCCTCTTAAATGCACCAAATAATCCCATAAAGAAGATCACATGTTTAATGTGCCAATGAAGTTCATGATTAGATTCTTTCAACGTAAGAAGATAGTCTTACTTCCTGCAAATGCTCCCAACCAGGATTTCGCTACTATATGCTCTTGTTTTCCTCTTAAATGAACCAAATAATCCCATAAAGCAGATCACATGTTTAATGTGCCAATGAAGTTCATGATTAGATTCTTTCAACATAAGAAGATAGTCTTACTTCCTGCAATTGCTCCCAACCAGGATTTCGCTACTATATGCTCTTGTTTTCCTCTTAAATGCACCAAATAATCCCATAAAGAAGATCACATGTTTAATGTGCCAATGAAGTTCATGATTAGATTCTTTTAACGTAAGAAGATAGTCTTACTTCCTGCAAGTGCTCCCAACCAGGATTTCGCTTGGCTACCATATCTCGTAGTTGATCATACCTCATTGATTCCTAAACTCAACACAGAAAACCAAACTATTAAAAGAATGAACTGTGACAATCAAGCTTTGAAAAACTCCTGCAAATGTAACATGCCTGCCAGTTTGACTTCCAGTCCTAAAAGAACTTCGATATCTTGGAATTGAATAGGATAATTTTTTTCTTAGATTCAGATTCTTTTTTTAAAAATAAAAAAGTGAAAAGTGTAGAAATGACTAGCTAAAAGACTGCATATAGGGATGCAAATTAGTCACTTCTTTGTTTAGCAAGTATTGTTCAATGATTATATGATATGCATGTCATCAACTCTACATTTAGCATGCGCTAAAGTTCCAGAGTTCATGTCATATAAGCTTAGACTTTTCAAATGGATTATGAAACATTCAATATATGTAGCATATGCATGTCAGCACTTCTTTCCTTAGCATGGGTTAAAGCTGCAGGAGCTTAATCAAAGAAGCGTGAACTTTTCAAGGAACAGCATGCCATAAGAAAATGAGGAAATGAAATAGAAAACAACACCAGCCAACAGATGAGACAGAGGAAGCAAAATGGACTAGGAACCTTGTATTGCCACCAAATTCTCTGTTTGACATCACCATCATAGTTGAAGCCACCCATAATCTCAGGAAAGGAAAACAACCAAAATGCAGCAATGCTGGGGTCTCTCATGCTATCAACTATATGCTGAAACAGCAAAGGGTCAAAATTATATATTATCTAACATGATAAATTGAAATCAAATATACATGCCTCCACTTCAAAAATCATGCTATCCCCTAATTTATCAGATAAAAAATCATAATGATCACTCTCCAATGGATATCTAAACACCAAACATGAGCAGACTCCCACATAAAAAGCAGATCAGAAAAGAAAAGGAATACAAGTAAACCATGAAGATGGAAAGGCATCTCATTAATTAGGATCTAGGCTAACCATGACCATTCTGCCAACCCATAATTGATCCTATAAGCATCTGAAGAAGACAATAAATGTTCTCAATTGCTTGTAAATCATAGTGGGTATCATAGTCCAATTTATGCAAGACCATGTATGAAGTCAAAGGATGACTAGTTTGATCATGATAATATTAAAGTACTTCATTGAGATGATGATGAGAATTTAACATGACTTATATTTTTCTAGCAATTTAACACAATAAATAAATGGGCAATTAAATGGCTTGTATTCTAATTATGATGACTGGTTTCCAGCGGGCTAATTAAAGTAATAATGCTACAAGACTCTCTAAATCATAGGCCAGAGGCAAAGAAACTTCAAAAACTTCAAGGTGGCATTATACTAGCCTCATAGGGATACTCCATCTTTCTCAGGACGTTGTAGGCTTGCCATGGGGGCTCCATTATCTGCAGAAAGACAAACCATACAAGGATAGATAATTTCATTTATTGAATAATAAAGTAAATTACATAGGGTAACCCAATAAGAACCAGTGACTAGATTTTTCAAACACATAAACAGTAGAAACTTGACGAGAATATAGACCACGTCTGAATAATCTGAATGCAAACTCATAATTTACTATCTGTTGCGGCTATTATTTTGTTTTATCAGCAATGGTGCAACCAAACAATTGGCCAAATACACTTACCCTGAATCATCAACTCTCAATGTTCAGTTATCTTAATGACATTTTGTTTACTATAATTCTGTTGTTGAATATTATTTGGTGGCCAACCATTCAGATTCATCTGGGATTATCAATCTTCTCTTCTTTTTTTTTTTCAAGAATTTCCATTTGATCTAAATGGATCACAAAACCACTACACCAGAAAACAGCTATTTCACTACAGTGTAATGCCATTCAACTCCATGATGGAACACAGCTTTGATATGTCAAGCTTTTGGTTCAGGACTTTTAACTCTAGAACAATCAAAGACTTAAATTTTTAAGGTAGTTGCACTGCCATGCATAGCAACATAAGATGTCGGTTATAAGGATTGTTTCCTTTCAATGCCAACCATATTGCTGGTAAAAACTCAGCAGATCTCATTGAAAGTCTGGAGCTACTTGATTGTATTCAAATTAAAGTCATAAACAAAAACCCAGCATCAGCAAATTCACCAAAAAAACTTACATCATCTGCAGAGATCCTGACTTGTAATTTGTTTTTGCATTCAGGGCAGCTCATTACACCCTGCAACATCAATAATATTGCACCCAAAGATCATAATGTACTTCTGTCATTTACAGAAAAATGGTCCAGCTTGTGCTCAAAAGGTAGGAACAATATGTGCCATGGACACCACTACATTAATTAGTGTTACAAAGATAGGTCACGAGAATGGTAAAATGCGTATTTTATCAAACTATATCAAAAGGGGCTACATTGTAAGGTGAAGATGAGCATTTCAAACCAAAATTGATTACAACCAGAGAGAATCTGGTTCAAACTACCAATATCAAAAATAATATACGGGGATGGTGAGAACAATTTAGAAACTTGGATAGACATGCTTGGCGATATAAGTCTTACTGTTCCATCACAAGAAGGACAGTCTTTAGATGGCAAAGGCATGTTAAGATCCATGGAGGGGGGAAGGTGCACCAGCTCAGCCCGGTTGTCAGCAATGGCATCTGCAATGCATTCAGCTGTAGCCTTCTCACCACTGCAAAAATATCCATAGAAGATGGGGAAAAAAACACAAAGGGGATATGATCAATTCAAGAGCACTACACTTTCAGTTACAGAGCTCATTGGAAAAGAGTACATTATGCTTTAATGGTAATGATGCCAATCAGAAAGAACTTTTGCTACAAGCATGTTCTCTTTGTAAGCATAAAATAATCTCTGTAAGATTGGTGAAGAGGCAACTGCGAAGAACAGAATTATAGAAAATAAGAAGCCCACTGTGTTTCTCAAAATAGGATTCTAGGAACTCTGAGAATATCCTACATTGCATGTATGAAGTGACAGCTCTCAAGCCCCAAAACTGCAACTTCTTGGTTGCAAACTCGAGATATTTTCCCGTAAATTAGATAATGGTATTTGAAAACTACGAAATATGCAGCTTAAATCAGGTAAAAGTAACCAGCTGGCCCTAGTCTATCCAACAAAGCTCAACATATTTGGTCTAGGTAACTGCTCTCCATTCTCAAACCAACAATCTATTGGCTGTAAACCTGATACATTTACCATTAATACAAAAAAACAGTCCTTGAGAACTCAAACAATTTAATTCCAAGTTCCAACCAGGTTAAAAACTCCAGCTGACCACATATTTTAAAACTATGCCCAACAAGCATTTACAGTTTGTCATGAAAGAAGATAAAACAATCTAGCAAGTAGCAAGTCATGTGTTCAGCTATAGTGATAGAAAATTCATAACTAGAGTAATGCCAATTTATTAGAGTGGACTGTAGTGCTGCTACATACATGCACTATAAAAGTTTCAAATTACAGGTTTTATGTAGCCTCCTGTAAAAAGTTTTGATGCAAGTTTAATCAAATATTGCTTAGTCTGTGAGAGTCTGGTTTTCTCTAGTATCACAAGATTTTATTTTGGTGAGCTTTACCCCAACAACTACCTTCTCAAGGTATAATTTTTAACTTGATAATGAACCTTCCCTGCTCCTTTGCACATATTACATCGCAATGCCTGCCATCCATTGCAAGTCTTACAATTCCTGCAAGCATAAGCCAATCAAATAAAAAACACACCAATTTTAATATGACATGTTTTTCTACCACTTTTCGAGGAGACTGGATTGATTATAAATAGTAAGCCATATTAGATACAACTTCATCCTTCTTTTGATTCAAAAAATTTCATAATTTTTTAGTTCTTTATATATATATATATATATAGGAGTAATTTTCAGTCCTTTGAAACAGTATGCTGCACTGCTTCCAGTGAAAAAAAGGGGGGCACTCCCACTCTCAGCACAAATTACAATAGGACCATAATAATGAAGAAATAAGACACCTCAGGAATCTTAAGAACAAAGTTCAGTGATTCATGAGAAGAATATTTTCAACACCTAGTCAAAAATACATTTGTGCAGTAAACTGATAAAAAATGGCAAGCTCACATATTTCAGCTCGGGTGTCCCTAAAACTCCCACATGAACAATTTGATATACATGTTATTATGAACAATATGGAAAGAAAACTAGATATGATGCACTATCACACTTTTTAGTCAAAGTTTACACAGTTCCGCTAATTAATATAAGTTGCATCTTTAAGTTTTCCAAAAAGAAAGCTCATCATCAAACTTCTTGAGGCCTTCTATAACAATAGTTTGATCATCATATGAAGGACATCACAACGAAGACAAGGCTATTAGAATACAAGAATGATATAAAGATTCAGAATGTCAATAATGGGAAAAATCTATCCACAGTCATGCATCATATTTAATTCATTCTGGCAAGTTGAAAGGGAAAATTTGCATGCACAAGCATCTAGGGTATCATTTAGATGACAAACAAGGGAACCCACTCTGCAAGATAAACATATTAAAAATATAAGTTCTAAGGCTGCTTTGGTAAAAGCTGTTCCCAAAGCATCAGATGTTTTAAATTAGATTGAATAAAAAAATCTAACTTATTGCATCACAAAATCACAATTTAGTAGCGAGAAGGATATTCAACTGCATAGATGGAGAAAGCAGTGTCCAGAGTTCTATAAATTACAACAGATAGCATAATACTATCATGAAAAGTGCTATCAAACTGGAATTGAACAAACTATTGACATAAGCAAGGGTCAGTACCTTTGACATATCACTTTCTTTCCCATCTCCAAGGCAATATCATAGGTCCCCAAAGTAGCAATAGCCTGCAAAGAAGATAAGAAAACTAATGTTCACCCAAAATGACCAGTAAAGTAGCAAAAAAGGGAAGAAGATTGTAAGAAAGCGTGCCTACTCGGCAAACACAAATAATTACATAAAAAGCAATGATCACTAGGATGTTGTTCCCAACCATATATGACTCAAAAAAATTCTTGCATTTTATCCACACATGAAGTGAAAGAAATAGATGATGTAGGTTTTGTCCTGCCATCAGAACCTCTTTAACGAAAAGCAAATTGCACAAAAATACATTGTTCCATCAAAACATGGCAGTTTCAGGAAGGAGTCATTATTAGCACTTTAACCAGATGATCCAAAATGCCAATAAATCATCATCAAAGCTTAAACCACCAATATGAAATCCTAAAGTACAAATTCAACTTGAGACAAATAGAACAAAAACCAGGTATCAAATTTAAGCCAAGGAGAAATGCAGCTCAATAAAACTAAAACAACCCCGCAAGATTTAAACTTGGACATACTTCGTTCATGAAAGGGGAAAAAAAAACCCAAAACGACCCACAAACTCAATCTACCACCAAACATACTGAACTTCCAAGCAATCATAGTATTCAACTTCCAAAACAAAATTATACAAAAATGAAAAATAACCAGAGAAGAAATTAAGTCAAACAACAAAAGTACCTCAAAACCGACAACCAAATCCTTAAATGTTCACCCTAACACAGTACCTACTTACGCATTACGAAGTTTCCATTTACATTAACATTATTAACCAGGGAAACAAGAATACCCATTTAAGTAAACGAGTAGTTTAATGAAAAATAACAAAGTTAAATGAAAAACAACAAAGTTAAATGAAAAACAACCAATAAAGTCTCTAACTTTGCAAAACCCAACACAGTGTACATGACATAAATGGCACAAAATAATAAAAGACTGATAAAGCTTGAGAATTTATACAAAGATAGAAGCATAGGAGAGCTTGGAGATGAGTTCAGGGGCACCAAACCCACGAGGAGCAGAGCCCACAATGTCAAAGGCGAGAGTGAAAGGAGACAAGACAAGTTTTATGGGGAACTCAAAAATGTCAATCAATTGTTGTCCATATCGAGCAGTGAAGAGCTTGTATTGTAAGTCAGCGAATTGCTTCGCACTCTTTATCAGACGGTCTGTTCCTCTTGACATGGCTACGGTGGATAGACAAAGGATAGAGTACGGGTATGGAAATGTATTTGTGGGTTGGTTATATATCCTGCCTAGCCTGCATTGCTGGAGTAGGAGGTTCAAAGCCAATGGATTAACCGAACCAAACCGAGTTGGTAGGATTTTCTAAATGAGCAACTTATTCAATAAAAATTAAAGCTGAGACATCAATCTATGAAAAATTTAATAAGTTTAGAGGATATTTGTTTTTGTATTTAAAAAAAATATTTACATTTATTTAAAGTTATTTTTTAAATATTTTTAAATTGTTTTAACATGCTAATATTAAAAATAAATTTTAAAAATTAAAAAATTATTATTTTGATTTATTCTTGAGTTAAAAAAATTTAATAAAAAAAAATTATCACAATATTAAATGAACTCTTAAACACTTGCAAGCTGAAAGATACAAATACCACTCGAAATAAAAAAGATCTAAACTTTTGGTTTAAGAATAAAGAGGATTTTTTTAGCGTGATAAAAAAAATAAAAAAAATCACTTAGTATAAAAAATATTTAAAAAAAAATAACATAATTTAACAAGCCATGTATCATATTAATAACTCATCTAAAAACTAATGTGATAGGGTTTTCAACCTCTCAACTCTGCCATAAAAAATCAACTTAATAATTCACAATTCTAATAATAAAACATAATTTACAATTTAATACCCTATACAATTAAAAATCAACCCATTTATCAATTCACAGTTCAATAAAATTAATAACTCAAAATTTATAATTAATCTCAAAAGAAAAATCACTTATCATTTTATTAAATTTAAATTAAATTCATAATTTTATAGCATATATACATATACATACATATATCTATATAAACTACTTTTAAAAATCATCTCAATTCGTGTACAAGTCTAGAGCGCTTATGAACATATCTACAACACCTTAACTAGCCCAACTTAAGGACAGATTTATAGCGCTCGTGGTGTGGTCGGCACCTAAATCACCCCAGCTTGTAAACTTAGATCACTCATGAATGGACCTACCTCCCCAACTACATGTCTTTGTCAATGAAAAGTGATCTCATCATTCACAACAGAGAGTGTTTGGTATTGTAGTAGTTGTTGAAGTTATGATTTAAAAAAAAAAGTTGTTTTATAAAAAGTATTTTTAGTTGAGGTTGGTTTGGAAAAATATATGTTTAGTTAAAACTGTGATTGAAATTGAGATTAAATAAAAAGTAGTTTAATATGTTTAGTTAAAAAATGCTTTTTAAATTGATGTTATAATATATATATATATATATATATATATTGATGGTTTTTAATTTAAATATCTTAGATTTAACTAATGCTATTACATCATGAAATAAATATTGTAGATTTAACTAATATTCACGTAAACAAGGACTATATTTTTCATAGTTTTTTAAGCGAGTAACAACATCAGGAAAAATATCATCAGGAATAAAATTGGGATTGTGATCAAATTCTGTAAATACTACGTTATCAAGCGATGTCCTTCTAATTTTTTGAATAAAACACAATTAAAAATAAAAATAAAAATTGAATTTTTTTAACGGGATCAGATCTAGTAAGAACAAAATTAAAATTCTGATTAAATTCCGTAAATGCTACATTATCAAGCGATCTTCTTCTAATTTTTCAAATAAAACACAATTAAAAAAAATAATTTTTTTTACTAGGTCGAACCCGGTTCAATGCATTTAGCTTTGAATCAGACCCGGTCCGACCGAAAACACTCCATTGTTTAACTCTTTAGTTAACAGAAATGCAGTGAGAAGCATGAAAAAATTGCTTGCGTAAAACTTACAATTAAACATCAGATTTTTGTGAGCCCTATGGCCAAAACATAGCTGCTGAAGATAACCAAACATTATGTTATTAAGTTTGACAAAAAATACAGAAGCTATCACAGAGCCAAACACTCTTTAAGGCCACTTCGAAGTACTTAACCTCCCAACTTTACCATTATGCCTTTCATAATTGTCAATATCACTCCAAGAATGAGAAATGAGTCAATTTTTTATAATAGTGGTTTGCAAAACCAATAGATTTTAACATGTGTGTAGCCCTTTTAATTTTGAGATCCCAAATGAATCTTACATTTAATTAAGCCCTCTTGCAAATACCATATACCTACTAATTCTTGAATACATTACAATTGCGCCTAAATTTTAGTTGAGCATTACACCTTATACTGCAATGAATTCTTAATATACCACTACTTAATTACAATAATACATTCAAACTTGTTTATGAGTTTTTATCCAACATCCAAGTCATCACTCGATACACCTAAATTCTTATAACTCAAAGACAATAATTACATATGGTTTAAGCATACTCATTCACATCCTCAAATTTAGAAGTGATATGTCTCATGAATTGGTTTAGTTGATTAATTAACTCATCGTTTTCATCTTTCTTAAATTTATCAATATGATGTCATTTTTATCATCACTTAGTTCAGATTCTTCATAACAATATAAAGCAAATGTAATACCTAATCATTCTTTCTTATCTATAATTTCTTGTGTCAATGTTAGGTTCATTATATAAACACCTACACTAAAAAGATTAATTTCTCGTTATGCTTATGTGGTTTTTTAAGTGTAACTTGGCATTTAAATGAATTTCCTACTAAAAAAGTTTCCTTGACTAGATCTAATATTCAAGTGAAGTTATAAATTTATGATTGATTATATTTGGTCAACCCAAATATTAAATTAACTCTTATGTTATTGCAAATAGGTACACCAATATATTTTGACTTCAATTTTCAACATATTTCATTCAATTAAATCATATAACATTTTAGATAATTCGACAAGAAAATTATATAATATAATAGTTAGGAACTCATTACTTCCACTATTACAAGTGATATAATTATTGGTATTAACAATAGTGATACCATAAAAACATAGTATTACAATACTATGAGACATTATGTTAAATAACATAACAAAAACCAAGCCTAACTTATCAAAATCACAAATTAATCAAAGTATATAACTTCAACAAAAGTTTATTCAACGAAACCCTAAAAAGTAACATAATTGAAAAAAACCCAAATCCATCAATTTTCTCTGTAAATAAAGAACTTATTAACTTAACTGATGTATTTCATAGCTAATTAACATAATTTATACCAAACTCAATAAAATTCTAAATTAACCTAAAAAACTCTAACCCTAACCATAACGTAATCAACAAAAACTCAAATTTATTATTTTTCTCCATAAATAATGAAACTATCAATTTAATTAATGTATTTTATAACTAATTAACATAATTTATACATAATTCAATAAAATTAGTAATTTAACCAAAAACCTCAAACCCTAATTTGAAATTGACAACAACCTAAATTTATCAATTTTCTTCATAAATAGCAAAATCAATAACTCAAATTAACTTATTTTATATCTAGCTAATATAATTTAAAACTAATTTATAAGAACCTTAAATCATCCTAAGAAACCCTAATTCTAAACCTTAAAATAATCAAAATTAATAATTAGCACAAAACCTATGAAATTGATATGAGGAGAGTGTCTAATATACCTCTAAGTGTTGAATATAGATGATGGTTACGATAGTGGTAGTTAAGAATGGAAAAGTGACTCACGAATGGGGAAAGTGGAAAGAGAAATGGATGGTGTCGTGACACGACTAAAAGATTGAAAAACTTGACACGACTAAAAGATTGATGTCTTCTCCCAAGTGCAGGAGTGTCGAAGTAATAAATAACCCGGCAAGACCGGGGTCGAACCACAGGGAGGTTAATTGTACAAATTATATAGTATAACAACAACAACAACAACAACAACAACAACAACAACAACAACAACAATAATAATAATAATAATACTAGTAGTAGTAGTAGTACTAATAATAATAATAATAATAATAATAATAATAATAATAATAAAGAAAGAGAAGAAGAAGAAGATGATGATGATGAGAACTTGGAGATCAAATATTAATGTAAGGATTAAGCAATAATAATAACAAATGTCAAGGTTAGAGGTTCCACTAATGGTATATCAAACAAGTATAGTATAAACTCTTATTATTGAATTGGAAACCACACATAAAGGAGGTTCCAATCAGATTATATATTGTTAACATGATTACATTAGTCATCTTATTCAATTAATGCTAATACTTGTAAATCTCGTCAAGCATTCATGATTATAACTTATGTTAACAACAAATCAAGTTCCTTTCATAGCTCAGGTGTCGGTTATACCATACATTATGGGCTATGAAAGTGCCAAGCATTTGTTGTACCAAGTGTTATACAACATAAATCTAGATTAGTCATTTAACAAGTAAAGTATGAAAGAGTGAACAAGATAACAAATACAAAACATGTTAGTATCAAACATTAAAGTCCATATTAAGTTTACACTATACTTATTCTTACACCATTAATGTAACCTTTTTACCTTGACATAATAAACTTAGCTAAACATAATGAAAGAAAGAAAAATAAATAAAGAAAATAAGAACATAAATAAGGTAAAAGTTAACTAAGTAAAGGAAAAAAAATGAAAGGCATAAACTTAATATTAATGAAAGCAAAGCATAAACATTACAAAAAATACAAAGAGAGAAAGGAAGAGCATGATCTTGATCTGGAAACCAAGATGCCTAAATGCATGGCAAATGCCTCCTTTTATAGGCCAAAATTGGGAACTATTGATTTGATGACTAATTGATAAGTGGGTGGCCAACTTTTGACTTGGTGACAATCCTTATCTTCTCTTGTCTGCCCAAAACGTCATTGATAACGTCAAAACTGGAGCCAGGTGCAAACATGAAAGTTGTAGGCAATTGTCTCAGCTTTCTTGTGTAAAAAATTCAGCTCATTTGGACTTCTAGAACTCCAGATATGGCCAAAATACCAAACAGTGCTCGGGCTGGAAGACAGATTCGGGCTTCTTTGTTGTTGCTACAATTTGGACTTGATAATGGCCTTTTTAGATCTTGGGCTCCATATGAAAGTTGTAGGCCTATGTCTTACCTTTCCATCCATATAAATTGGACCTA